ACAGGAAGGGGTTCAAGTTTTTAAATAACCAATTCAACCCCCCCCCCCTGGTTAGCCTTGGGACATTAGTTTAGGTCAAACAACCTATTCAAGAATCAACGAGATTCAACATTAACTATGTGCAAGTAATTGCTGAAATTTATTTGGATAGAGGGGGGCTATCTCTTTTTTTTTTTGTAATTGTTAAAGGTTTATGGAGGCTAATCGATGATTTAGTCGTCGAAAACTTTGATACCTAATATAGGCAATTTTGCTACCGACTTTTTTTGTTTTTTTCACTGGAAAAAATTGGCAGCTAGCTGGCAGTTTGACTGCCAATAATATCACTGGTATAAAATCAGTGATTTCTATGCTCCAAAATCTTCTAGCGGTTTACCAATATTTTGGATCCATTACTTTCCAGCTATTATAGTCACTGGAAAATATTATTGCTAAAAATATGTCGTTGGTTTCCATTTTATACACAATTTATTCTAGAGGTTTTAAACTATCGCAAAAAGTCAAAAAAAAAAATCATCAGAAATTTGAGTTAATCTGCCAGAAATTATTATCGATAATAGATAATTTTCCTATGGAGGAAGATAAGAAATATTATTGATTGAAATTTTATTTCTTCTAACATATATGTTTGATATTTTTTTTATGTACGTACTAAAAATTTAGCCACATCATACACTACTCAAGATTGATCATGGCTTATGTTTGGATAAAATAGGATGTCTTTCAAAAGAGTTTGTATTTTAATTTTTCTTTATTTTATATTTCTTGAGTCTATCCATGTAAGGGTTTATGCAAAATTTGTGATTGTATACACACAAAGGGGAGTCAAAAAAGTGTTATGAGATTTTTTGATCTAACGGTATAATATTATCACAATCATAATGTACAATTAGTTATACAAAAAAAGGTGGGTTAACAACTAATTATGTAGTTAATGCTAATGACATAATCATACTATATGATTTATTTTCATAAGGAAACCCTAACCGCCAGATAATTAAGTAAGTATTTTAAAAATAAAGTTTTGAATTAATCATAATGTATAATCCTAATCATACTATATGATATTTGAAATATTGCTTAAATTATTTCAAGTGATTAGTCCATTAAATCAAGGCTTAATAAATATGGATTATCATATTGTAAAATATAGATCATACTATACGATTAACTAGATGAAATCTGGTCATCAAAGATATTATGCTAGACAAAAACTTTGATTTTTTAACTAATCGTATAGTATGATGTTGATCACAATATATGAATCCTTGATATTTGAACTAAATATGTTGTACGATGTTAATTGTACCAAAAAATCTACATAGATGATTTATAATCATCCCAATAAGCATCCTATATGAATAAAAGAAAATTAAATTAATCATATTATATGAACTTATAATAGTATTGAACGATAATTATGCAAAATTTGAATAGTTCATCTCAACGATTATTCTATCATATAGGATGAACCCCTATTTTGAGCTAATCATAATATACAATCCCAGATCATACTATACAAATAATGATGAACTAATAAAAATTTTAAGTTTTTTTCTTAGGACTTAATACTTTAGCAATTCAATGGAATATCCAGTAAGACTTTTCTCTCTTGAAGGAGATGTGAGAGAGAATTCTTGAGAGAGCTTTAGGCTTAGAGAGGGAGATAGTGATGTCATGTATGAGGGAGGAGTGCGATAGGTGTTTATATGGTTCTCTAAGCATGTTTGCACCTTATTTTCTCTAGTGGCCTTAGTGAGTTCTTGGAGCTTCATTGGGGAGAGAAGCTTCAAAGTCAGGGTCTTGGGTTCTTTTCCTTCACCAGGAGGGTGAGAAGTGTGAGAAAGATTTTGTGGGTTATTTATATAAAACAAAAAAATGACATTTGTTTTAGTATTTTATAAAGTACTATTTCACCACCCTCTTGGTAGGCTTAGGGATAGTTCACAGAGGTCTTACAACCTCCCCGAACTTTAAACAAGGACCTCATTATTCATCTTAGAGGTTTTTGTTACAAATCTATTTTTCATGGATTATAATTTTTATGATACCAAACACTATTATTTCTCTATGACTATTGTGCCTACTGACATTTCAGGACCACAAGATCAGAGGGCAATCAGAACCATCTCAACATTGGGTAGACTAGGTCTGAGTCAGTCTGTAATATACTTTTTCCCATTCTTTAGTCAACTATAATCTTTGAGGTGTCTGAGTCTAAGTAACCCTACACACACACACATAAGTGATTTTTTCTGTCTGAATTTAGAGTTTTCTAATTTTGCTCACATCGATCGGGATGATATTAATATCGGCCTGGACAATCGGTTCAAAAATAGAAACCCTAATCAGGGCATCATGGTTAAGGCAGACGTCATTAAGCCAATTGGCCTGGACGATATTTTATTGGCCAGGATAATGGGGTCAAATTAGAAAGAATCAGCCACCATGATCTATTTAGGTATGCTTTATTTTAGGAGATCATTCAGGATGATATATTATCGGCCAGGACGATGCAGCATAATTATGCCTAAATTGATCTGGTAATTAAGGAAAGCAATTAAGGCTGATTGCATAATCACATCGGTCGGGCCGATCGCAGGATCTGCCGGGACGATAGCATGGACGATTGACATCAGCCTACTTCAATTCAGGGTGATGTCTAGGATGATTTGGCTTGGACTTGAACTAATTGGCCAGAATGATATCCTATCGGCTAGACGATGTGACCAAAATTACTCTAATTGTCCCAAACCTATCGGGTTGATTGAGCAAAATTTATGCTAATTAGCCAGGCCGATACCCCTATCAGCCTAGATGATAAAGTCGGTTTGTATATAATAAGAGCTATTATGAAGCTCTTCTATTTAAGATCTCTTGCTCTACCTTAGAGGAGATCTTTTGCTACTGCCTTGACCTGAGAAAGCCTAGAGGAGAGGGAGAGAGAGAGAGAGAGAGGATTTTGTGAGGGAGAGCTTGTGAGGGGAATTCACAAGGGTTGCTCCATGCATTGTTCCACTTCTTTTTCCACTAGAGTCTCTTGTCCTTCGAAGGGCTGAGAGAGGTGAGCTTCAGCAATCGATCAAGGTTCTCTGCCTGCTTCAGGTGGAAGTAAAAGGAGTTGGGTTCTGTGCCTCGTCGGGGTTGGCAAAAAGGAGTTTTTGTGAGGGCTTCTCCGCCTTACTGTGGGAGCAAAAGGAGAGTCACTTTTATAGTGCAATACTCAGAGGGTGCCTCGTGGGAGTGGACATAGGTTGAGTTGACCGAACCACTATAAATTCTTTTTTGACTTCTTTCGCATTTAATTTTTCGCACTTTGATTTATGTTGTGGTGAATCTTGGTTTGAGTTTTGTGTATTGATTGTAAGAATTTTTAAAATACGAATTCAACCCCCTCCCCCCGCCCCTCTTGGTTAATCTTGGGCCGGTTCATAGGGCTTAACATCCGTAACTAACTTTCAAGTGGTATCAGAGCTGCATTCATAAAATTATGTTTAAAAACTTTTTGAATTTTGATCCATGGCTAACTTTGGGAATCATAATACAATGGAAGGATATTCTATTACACGACCACCTTTGCTTGATAATCTTCCTTTTGATTTTTGGAAAACTCGCATGTCTACTTTTTTACAATCGATTGATTATCGCATGTAGATACTTATTAAAGAAGGATATTCTCCATGTTCTCGTGAACTTAATGAAATTAAAATTGAAGTACCTCTTACTGAATGGATTTTTTATGAAAGAGATTTGGCACAACCTAATGTAAAGTGTTTAAACTATTTTTTCTGAGCTTTAAAATATGAAGATTACATGTGTATTTCAACTTGTGCTTCTGGTAAAGAGATTTGGGAAAGATTGTACATTACTTATGAAGGAACTAATGAAGTTAAGTAATCTCATTTGAATATTTTGTTGCATGATTATGAACTTTTTTATATGAAACATCATGAATCAATTTCTAAAATGTATACAAGTTTTACTCAAATTGTAACTTCTTTGCATGCCTTAGGAAGAGAACTCACTAACTATGAAAAGGTGAATAAAATTTTGAGATGCTTGCCTTCCTCTTTTGATGCTAAAATCACTGCAATTACTAAATTTAAAGATTTAAATACTTATTCAATTGATAACTTATTTGGCTCACTCATTGCTTACGAGCAAGGAGTGAATCAAAGAAATCTAGATCTAGGTGAGAAAAAGAAGGAGAAAACTATGGCACTAAAGGCCAATAACTCAGATACTGATTCTTCTGGGTTTAAAAGTGATGATGTTGCCTTCATCACAAGACAATTTAAAAGCTTTCTAAGGAAGAAGCAAAAGAATCATCAAAAGTGGAAGAAAGGTAACAACAACATCATCATCATCATTATCAAGTCTTTATCCCACTACATGGGGTCAGCAACATGAATCCTTTTTCTCCATTGTGTTCTATTAAAAGTCAAATTCTCGTTTAAATCTAATAAAGAAAGGTCATTCCTAATATTTTTTAACCAAGTTTTTTTAGGTCTACCCCTACCTTTCTTAACATAAGTCAAATTTAATACCTCTACTCTCCTAACCGGGTCATCGGAAGGCCGCTGTATTATGTGACCAAACCATCTAAGGAGGCTCTCTCTAATCTTATCTTATACTGAAGCTACTCTAACCTTTTCACGTATATGCTCATTTTGTATCCTATCTCTAAGGGTAAAGCTACTCATCCACCTGAGCATCCTCATCTCTGCCACACTTAACTTAGTATTATGCTTCTCTTTTAATGGCCAACATTCGGCACCATAAAGAATTGCAGGCCTCACTACCATCTTATAGAATTTTCCCTTAAGCTTGAGGGGTACATTTCTATCACATAACAAGCCCGATGCATTCCTCCACTTCAACCATCCAACTTGAATTCTGCTGATAATATCCCTATTGTTAGGAAAGTTGCTATTTGCATGTTTTACATTATTGCAACTTGTATAGTTTTGATGATTCTAAATATTATTGTTTTATGTGTTTACATTTACAAACTAGATAAAGTTAGTTACAATAAGTATCATCCCTATACGTCATGGATCCCAATCACGTAAGTACAGAGTTTATTCAAGAAAAAATGTCCCTTTAATTCAAATTGGTACTGTTTCTCAACTAATACCTCCTTTTATTATGTTTTTTAGTGTTTATATTTGCTTGCGAAATGCAACCCAGCAGTTGCGAAATTATTCCTTGACTCTTTTTGCGTAAGCCAAATCTTCTGGACAATTATTGCCATTTTTCTTGAGTTTTCATTTTATATCAATATGCAATCATCCTTGTTTCATTATTTTATTTCTACTGCTTAGGTGGCTTGGCAAGATCACGCTTGAGACATATATCTCTCAGATCCATATTTGGCTTCGGTGAGAATGGAGTTTGACATTTATAAAATGTTTTTTTTTTCTTTTTATCTAATTCTAATCAAATAGCTTCTTTAACTAACGTGTTTTCTCTAATAAAATAAACAACTGAGTCATCGTATCATTTTTTGGTTATAAGCAAACAATGAATATATGAGTTTGGTTTTCTTTAGGAATAATTTTTGTCTTCTATTCTGATATAAATTGTGTTAGAACTGATTTGATCATTTATTTTAAAATTAATGCAATTTAAAATTTTCATATACAACACTATTCTTCATACAACAACAACAACATCAAGCCTTTATCCCACTACGTGGGGTCGGCTACATGAATCCTTTTTCTTCATTGTGTCCTATTAAAAGTCAAATTCTCGTTTAAATCTAATAAAGAAAGGTCATTCCTAATATTTTCTAACCAAGTCTTTTTAGGTCTACCCCTACCTTTCTTAACATAAGTCAAATCTAATACCTCTACTCTCTTAACTGGGTCGTCGGAAGGCCGCCTTTTTATGTGACCAAACCATCTAAGGCGACTCTCTCTAATTTTATCTTCTACTGGAGCTACTCCAACCTTTTCACGTATATGCTCATTTCGTATCCTATCTCTAAGGGTAAAGCCACTCATCCACCTGAGCATTCTCATCTCTGCCACACTTAACTTAGTATTATGCTTCTCTTTTAATGGCCAACATTCGGCACCATAAAGCATTGCAGGCCTCACTACCATCTTATAGAATTTTCCCTTAAGTTTGAGGGGTACATTTCTATCACATAACAAGCCCGATGCATTCCTCCACTTCAACCATCCAACTTGAATTCTGCTGATAATATCCCCATCTATTTCACCATCACTTTGAACAATTGATCCAAGATATCTAAAACGTGTACTCTTATTAATGACTTGATCGCCCAAAGTCACAATCCCCTCACTAGGTCTATTACTACTAAAATTACACTCCATATATTCCGTTTTAGATCTACTCAAGCGAAAATCTTTAGTCTCTAATGTTGACCTCCATAATTCAAGTTTACTTTTAATTCCCTCTCTAGTCTTATCAACAAGAAGAATATCATCAGCAAAAAGCATACGCCAAGGTACATCCTCTTGCAAATGTCTAGTGAGAACATCCATGACTAAAGCAAATAGATATGGGCTTAAGGCTAATCCTTGATGTAACCCAACCGAAATAGGGAAATACTTGGTCAAATCATCTTGTGTTTGAACACAAGTAATAGCTCCTGCATACATATCTTTAATGATTTGAATATAAGCATTATTGACTCCTTTCTTTTCAATAACTCTCCATAGCACTTCTCTTGGAACTTTATCATATGTTTTTTCTAAATCAATAAATATCATATGTAGATCCTCCTTATTTTCTCTATATTTCTCCATCAAACCTCTTAATAAATATATGGCTTCCATAGTCGACCTACCCGGCATGAATCCAAATTGATTTTGAGAAACAATAGTATCACGCCACAACCTATGCTCCATAACTCGCTCCCATAGTTTTAAAGTATGACACATTAACTTAATACCTCTAAAAGTGGAACAAAGGTAAGGGAAACAAAATTTTTAAGAATTCTTCTGATGTTATTTGTTTTGAATGCAGGAAGCCTGAACATGTGAAAGCTCATTGTCCTACACTTGAGGATCTCTCAAGCAAAGAAAAGAGTGAGGAGAAACCTAAGTTCATGAAGGATATGAGGTAAGTCCAAAAGGCATTCTAGCATGAATCTGCATCTAACTCCTCTAAGACTGAGGCTGAGGAAGAGACAACAAACTTGTGTTTAATGAAAGATGATCATCTTGATCAAAGTGAAGAAGAGGCATGTAAATCAACCTATGACCAATTACTTGAAATATGTGAGAAAATTCATGCATCATATAGAAAACTTAAGAAAACTCATGCTAGTTTGAAATTGGAGTTTTTGAATTTACAAAAAGAGCATGAAATTTTGATTAAAGATCACCTCCAAATTTAAAGCAATCACAGGTCTCTACTTGATAAATTTGATGATTTAAATAAAAATCATTCTGAATTAATTGTTGAGCATGATACTTTGAAAGCTTCCTACACCTAATTTGAATCTAATTTTAAAGCTTCTACTAAAGAATATGAGCATAAAAAGTACTGTTTGGAAGTTTATTTAGAAAATTCTAACTTGGGGCTTAAAGCAAAATTGAATACATTTGAGAGAAGTTGGAATACATGAATAACTAATTTAAAGCCTAAACCTAGGAAGAAGCATTATAACCCGAACCGATTAAGAAATTCTTTTCCTAGTGTTAGATATTTTTCATGTGGCATGTTAGAACACATAGCACACACTTGCACCATTCACCATAGTACACATTGGGTTTAGAGACCAAAATAGCACGTTTCACAGCATAACATAAATGCATTACATTCTTCTTTTCATAAGGATAGACCCAAACCTATTTGGGTTCCTAACTTTGACGGTTGATGATTTTTGTAGGTGTACTCTCACCAAAGTCCTCGTGAGAGCTTGGACATCGGAGGCTCGCGGCTTATAAATTGCTTAAACTTACTGCTTAATAATTTCTGGATTGCATACTCTGTTGTTATCTGTCTTTAATTTTTTGTGTTAAGCTTTTCAAGTTTGTTGTTGTTTTTTACTTTGGCTTTCATTTTACTTTATGATAAATTCATCTAGTTTTTATTTTTTTTAGCCAATGTTTAAACATCTCTAAATCAGTTAAAGGGAGAAACACCGTTGATGGTTTCCCTCCCTCTAACCTCTTTTAGTGGTATATTTTTTTTTTCTAAACAAAAGACTTTCTCAAATTAACAAATGTATTTTGAAATTAAGATATTTTCTATCTTTCTACAATAATCTATCTTATATATATAATGTTCAAATTTTTTATATATCTTTCAAGTTAATTGAAATCTTGCCATTACATTTATCATATGATTGCTAAGTTTACTTGTGGTCTATTCTTTCCTATATTAGAGAGTGAGTCTTTCTTCTCTAACATCTAGAAGATCTACTCACAACTAAAAATGTTTAAGAGTTTTTGAAAAGGGGTCTAGTTTGCAAAAATAAAAAAGAAAAGGAGGCTAATGACGCCAAAACAAAAAGATGCACAATGACACCAAATTGAAAAATATATACAAAGTGTATCAAAAATCGAAAGATGCATAAAGTGCACCATTCAAATTAACAAGAGGCATAAAATGAGCCCACAAAAGATAAGCTTATCTCTCTTTCAAACTTTTAAAAATTTTGGAAGAATTCATGGATTACTTGATATCTTTCAAAGGCTTGATTTCAAATTCTATGATTGAGACAAATTACTTTGGTATATTATTTTATACGATATTTTCTCTGGAACCAAGTTTTGAACAGATCTTTTTTCTTACCATATTAGTTTGTTCTGAGTTAGGTCTTTTTTTCTAAAAAGATGATTTTGCCCTAAAAGAAGTTTTAGCTAGGGTTAATATGATCAGATATTCTACCATTTCATATTTCGACATTGTTAACTCATTGGTCTTACAAATCTTTAAAATTTAATTACTTGGAGCATTTATCATATTTATGACTTGCTAAAACTCAAAAAAAATTTGTTTTTGTTTTTTGTTGTATTTCTATCCTTTTTATTGATGTTAAGTTTCTTAGGCCTTATCTAATCATCTCCATCCATCCTCTGATTCTCAAATTTTTGTTCACATCATCCCGGCCGATACCCCTATCGGCTAGGATGATCCGATCAATTTACTCTAAAAACCCCCCTCTACCGACTGATTTGATTTTTTACTTCAGATCTGTTTGGACGATCCATAATCGACCCGGACGATCTGATCGTCTTTTATTTCAATCTTTTTTTATCGGCCTGGCCGATAGGTTTTTCAACCCAGACGATGTTCTCCTCTTTATGGAAAATCGGCCTAACTGATCCACATGTTTGTCTTAGATAATACACGTGGATTTACATTTAAAATCTTTAAAATCGACTGGGATGATCCATTTTTAGAAAATCGGCCCGATCGATCCACCTGTTCGGTCCGGCCGATACACATGACACATGATTTAAACATTTTAAATTCGGCCGGTACGATTCATTATTAGACATCATCTTGGACGATCCACTGAATTGGCCCGGATGATCTACATTTCAACGGTCGTCCGGCTTAACTCTTCTGGATGATCGCCTGTGTCGAATCGTCCAAGCTGATATCTGATCAACCTGGATGATCGGACCGTCTTTTTGACCAATCGGCCTATACGTAATTATTGAACCTTATTAGCCTGGACGATCCTGCGATAGGCCTGGCCTATATGGCCGATCCTTTAAATTCAAAGACTTCTAGCCATTTTCTTCACTCAAGCTTTCTCAAACTCCTTGTATTATTGCTCTAGGGCTCTATTCTCTGAAAATGGCAGGAGGGAAGCACTCACGTCATCTTTCTGGCAGTTCCTCGAGGGCCACTCTGGACCCTCGATTCCTGGAGTCCGATGCTCAAGCCGCCTACTAGCGCTACAAGGAGGCTGGAATCACAGTCTCGCGGACCGTTAATCCAGATTATCTCTCTTATCTGGTAGTTAATTTATTTGCCCATACCTCCTTGTGCTTTCTTTTGACTCTAGTTGTCCCCTTCAATTTTAAACTTTTGTTTGATTTCTTCGGAAGCCTTAGAATTAATTCTTCTTACACTGTTTGCCTCATATATGAATCGACAGCCCATCGAGATCACATATCAGAATTGCCAAGAACTTCTACAACTTTCCACCACAGGGGATAAACTCCATACCCTATGTTCTGATCCTGATTATGACTGTGCTCCGGCCATTCACTTCCTTCGAAACACCACAACCCACTTTCATGTTGGAGAGACTAGCTCTTTACTCAAAGATGCTAGGACTATTCAATATGTCATTCGCACCTCTAAAATCCCAAAGGTTGGTGATCGTGTCCACATTACTTCTCTTCTTTCAATCACCACTTTTTATATTCTAGCCCATCGCAAATTCAATGCAACCAACCTGATCTTTCGCTACATCAATCACTTGACTAAAATTCGAGATCCAAGTCATAGAAGGAAACCAAATCTTGCCCTAGGACATCTCATTGCATATATTCTTGAAACAAAATATATCCTCCAATATCCTACTCCACCATATCTCCCCATAGTACTCATCTCCACCCTGGGGATGGGGAAGCTCGGGCTGAGGAGGAGGAGGCTTTCGCTCCTGTTCCTAAACCTGTCCCGCTCTGCCAGCACTCTCAGCTGGATCAGTTGGTGAAGCGATTCGACTAGTGGAAGCTTCGCATGCTGAGGACTTAGTCCATTTTGATTCCTACGTTGCACACCACCATCAACAGCATGACCACATGGCCTGGTTTGGATCTCAGTTTGCTACGATGACTAGCTACTTTCAGCAACCACCACCACCACCTCCTTCAGATGATCAAGGGCCACCGTTTTACTAGATTTTCTTTTTCTTTTTGTCGTTGTAGTTTATTTTCTGTTTGATTATTATTTAGTGTCTAGTTTACTCCTGTTTCTTCTCCTTATTATGATGTCAAAAGGGGGAGTAGTATGTTGTAATGTTTTTGTCTTGTACTTTTTTAATCTATTTTTTCCTTACACTATTTGCACTGAATTGCCATAACTGCTTGTAACTTTTTCATTTTGTTTTTCATCGGAGATTGCTGCAAATCTATTTTTCATGGATTATGATTTTGATGATATCAAACACACTTGTTTCTCTACAACTGCCATTCCTACTGACATTTCAGGACCACAAGATCAGAGGGCAATCAAAACCAGCTTAAGATTGCATAGACTAGGTCTTAGTCAGTTTGTAATATATTTTTTCCCTTTCTTGAGTCAATTATAATCTTTGAGGTGTCTGATGCTAAGTAACCCTACACACACACACTCACACTTGAGTGATTTTTTCTATCTGAATTTAGAGTTTTCTGGTTTTGCTCACATTAGCCGGGATGATATTTATATCGACCTGGACAATAAGTTCAAAAATAGAAACCCTAATCAGGGCATCATGGTTAAGGAAGCCGTCATTAAGCCAATCAGCTTGGATGATATTTTATCAGCCATGATGATAGGTTCAAATCAGAAAGAATTATCCGCCATGTTCTATTTAGGTATTTTTTATTTTAGGACATCAGCCAGGATGATATACTATCGGTCTGGACGATGTAGCATAATTATGCCTAAATTGATCTGGTAATTAAGGAAAGTAATTAAGGTTGATTGCACAATCCATCGACCGGGCCGATCACAGGATCGCCCGGGACAATCGTGTGGATGATTCACATCGGCCAACTTCAATTCAGGACGATGTCCAGGATGATTTGGCTTGGATTTGAACTAATCGGCCAGGATGATATTCTATCGGCCTTGATGATGTGACCAAAATTACTCTAATCGTCCTAAACCGATCAGGCTGATTGAGCAAAATTTATATTGATCAGCTAGGCCGATACCCCTATCAGCCTGGACAATAAAGTTGATTTGTATAAAATAAGAGTTATTCCGAAGCTCTTCTAATTAAGATCTCTTACTCTACCTTAGAGGAGATCATTTGACGATGTCTTGACCTAAGAAAGCCTAAAGGAGAGGGAGAGAGAGGGAGAGAGAGAGGATTTTGTGCGGGGGAGCTTGTGAGGGGAATTCACAAGGGTTGCTCCAAGCATTGTTCCACTTCTTCTTCCACTAGAGTCTCTTATCCTTCGAAGGATTGAGAGAGGTGAGCTTTAGCAATAGATCAAGGTTCTCTGCCTGCTTTAGGAGGAAGCAAAAGGAGTTAGGTTCTCTGCCTCGCCAGGGTTGACAGAAAGGAGTTTTGTGAGGGCTTCTCCATCTTGCTGTGGAAGCAAAAGGAGAGTAACTTTTGTAGTGCAATACTCAGAGAGCGCCTCTGGTGAGTGGACGTAGGTCGAGTTGACTGAACCACTATAAATTTTTGTGTTCTTTTTCTACTGCTTCCGCTTTTAATTTTTTGCACTTTGATTAACATTGTGGTGAATCTTGGTTTGAGTTTTGTGTTTTGATTGTAATAATTTTTAAAATACCAATTCACCCCCCCCCCCCCCCCCCCCTCATGGTTAGTGTTGGGCCAGTTCATAGAGTTTAACATCCCTAACAACTTTCAGTTTTCTTAGCATCAAAATTATCATGTGAAACCTCTTTCTCGATAGCAATAAGCTTCAGAGAAACAAAAACCATGTTTCCATCATTAACATTTTGACAAAAAAAGAACATTTTGTAAACTAGCAAAATTCTGATTTAACGCACAAGGCATTTAAAAAAGAGGTAGAGTGGAACTTACAATAATACCATTAATAGGAGAAATATATGTCAACACGATAGGAACCCCCCAATCTAGTATTTGAAGATTTAAAATATTATAATGCTTTGGAATATAATTAATAAGAGGAGAGACAATCAAATCATTAAATGGTTCATTTGACTTTTCTAGAAAGCCATCTAGCTAACCCACACAAGCAGAGGTAGAAACAACATTAATTGGAAGGTTATTATCTTGATTCATAGAATGCATGTCATTAGTTTCCTTAAAGGGGGAAACCACCATGCTATTTTTGTTAACAATCGACTTAGAGATCTCCATAGGAGACAATTTTTTCTTTCTTAGGGAAGATACAAGTTAAAATAATCTAAAATCGCATGACCATAAGTTTTACAATGATTACATAAGAGAAGGATTTTTTCAAATTGAACTTTTTGCAAATATTAAATGTTTTCAGGCTAGTTAAATCTCTTTATGAGACTTTTTTGATAATATTCAGCTCAGCATAGACACGAGCAACATAAGGTCATGACCAAGCAGCTGTTGCTTGATCCATCTAAAGAGGTTGTCCAAAAACATAAGCTAAAACATGAATAATTTGGGAGTTAAACATTTACAAACGTAGGATTGAGAACAAAATTCAGACAGGAACAATATGAGACTTTTCTTTGATGTAAAAAAAGGAAGTCCACTTTAAGATCCTGATCACTTACCAGTAAAATATAAAGTAAGATATCTTTGAAAAAATTTGGCAACAGTCAAGATCGTTAGAAAGTTGAATAACCACATGTCTGGAATCCAACATTCTAATAGAAAAGGACCCTTATAGTTTAAGATTGACCAAAAAAAACATGTATCGAATCAAGATTGGTATGACATAGAGCAAAATTTTCAACCATGGTAAACGCAAAAGGTGCATTAAGTTTCTCAATGCTATCTTCCCCAAACATCACTGCATGTACACCTTTAAAGGATATATGCATGAAGGAAATATAAAGAAGAGAAGAAGTAGCAGCTCTAGAAGCCACATCGCAAAAAGATTTCGAGTTATTATCAAGTTCAGGGAAACCACAAAGCTTTACGTGATTAATGGGTCGGCTGGATCCCCTTGGGTTAGAGGACGGCAGCCGTCACAAACCCCAAGAACAACAGAACAAAACTAGCAGACGGAAAGAACCGAAAAATGAATGAAGAAAATAAAAAACATCAAGGGCCATAATTGCCTTCAGGCCACTTAGAAAACGCTCAACTACAAACTATAGCAGCAAGAAGCTCAAGAAAGAGTGGTCAAAGATTGCAATCCAACAAAATCCCTAAAATGGCTAGAGCACTGAGAGACGAAGATGAGGCTTTATGAGAGGAGGACACTTTGATTCGGGGATTAAGGCTTTTTATCGGAAGCATATATAAATTCATTGAAATGCAAAAAAGAGGTTTCTGATATTTCATATTTGATGTTGCGTTCTAGAGAGATCTTTCTTTTCACTCAATATGAAAAATAAGGAAAATAAGAACTTATTGTTTAAACTGAGGATCATAACCCTATTTGTAATGTAGTTTTTATTTTATTTTTGGCAATTAATAAAATAAAATAAAATGCAAACTCTTAGTTAATTCTACTCCATATTAAATGATATATCATATATGACAAATAATAAATAAATCTCAGATAGATCAAAATTTCGTAGGCTTAGTTTTAAATATCTCCGAATTTAAGAACAATAAAAAAAAATGTTTGGCAATATTTGGAATAGCTTGCCAAAATCCTGGTTGAATTGCGATAGCAACCGCCACATATTCCATTCAAATAAATTCACTCAGAAAAAGTACGTGCTCAAAAACTGCTCTTCTAATTCATGATCGTTATGTCATATTGAGAATTTATGAGCACTTTAGGTGTTTTTGTGTCTGGCACATTAAAGTTTTGACGTCGGATTATTCTGCAAAAAGCAATCAAGAAAAAAGGATCAACGCATTAATTATATATTTTTTTATAGTCAGAATTAACCAAATCAAAACCTTCAATCCGCTTTTAAGCAATGATCTCGCATTACTTGCTCTTTCCCATCGCATTCCAATCGCTGCATCTGCGAGCAATGGAAAGCGGGAAGGTACAGCGGTAAGCAATAGAAATTTCGTCGGTTATAACCAAGCACCCAATTCCCGCCTACTACCTTCCATACTGTAAACACCAGGTTCATAAATTTGTGTTAATCGCTTTAAATTTGTCCTCGTCATATTCTGATCGATCAGAAAATTTATATATATATATATATATATATATATATATATTTAAATTATACAGTGAAAATACGTTACATAGCAAACTACAGAAACACTAAAAAAAGAACTTCCAAATCAACTTATTTACAACCGTATATACCATGATTTTCTATTATAAAGACCTCTGTTTTAATTGCCGCATTCACGCCACATATTTATCATCTCGGTAGATGACAGGGAAATGAGGAGCCCGTTACTCCATCTTAATGTCTACGGAAATGAAATATTGCTTATTCGTAAGACAAAAACTCCCACCACTGAGAGCAACCACCGCCATTCATCAGCTGATCTGACGGCCAACCGGTACTGTGGAAGCAGAACTGTTTTTGTTCTGTACTGTCATCCGAAACCAAAATCCTGCCACCCCCAGCTTGTTCCTTCGTTTTGTGCAGATGATGCTCCACCTCCTTACCCACTGAAAGGTGGTTCACTTTCCTCTCCACATCATAATTGTTCTTGTTTGAGGACAAGCTCAGTATCGGAGTTTTTTCCGCCTCACTGCGTGTTACAGTGAAGTCAATCTGCTTGCTGCTCTCCTTTTTCTCCCGTTGATTATTACTCTCCACCATCTCCGCAAGCCTTTGCACCTGAAAAAAAAATAATTAGCACCTCCAGACTGTTCAGCTAGCGCATCAATTAACCACCAATTAAGAAAGAAGAGAAAACAGGGGATGGGTAGATGCAAGTAATATAAGTCATTGTGCTAACCTGCACGGATAAAACATTTTTCTGGTGGAGCAAGGACTCGAAGGAGGAACGGAGCGCATCGTAGTCTGCGCTGAGAGCGGCATAAGCTCGCTCAAGCTGCTTGGACTTCCATCGAGCACGTTTGTTTTGAAACCATATAGCCACTTGCCGGGGCTGCAGACCAAGCTCCTTAGCCAGCTGCTGCTTCTTCCTGGGCTCTAACTTCGCCTGTTCTTCAAACATCACCTCCAGTGATTTCACCTGCGTCTCAGTGAACCGCCTCTTCTTCTCCACCGCCAACTCCGCCGCCGCCGCCGCCGCCGCCGCAGAAGCTGCAGCATCATTCTCACAGCCGCTACTACTGCTGTTGCTACTACTCAGCATCATTATATCGATCAAATTTCCCACCGCATTCGAATCCATCATCATCTGCAGCCAGCATTCGTGAAATACGGGAAGCGAAAGTGTCGGGAGATTTAGAAAAGCTTTCGCCGGCGTGGTTTGGCGGGAGATATAGATGAGCTGCCGAAATGGGGGGAGGAGGGTAGAGAGCCAATGGAGGAAAGGCGGGCGGGGAAGTTGGCGTGAAGGACTTGCCCGCCTTGGCTTTGCAAGCTGTCTTTCTATTGATTCCACGTAGCTGTTGCTTAACATTTTGTTCCTCATAGATCTCTATCTGTCTCTGTCGCCTTAGGGGCCTACATAGCTCTCCCATTTCTGTATTAAGCAGGAACGCCGATAAACCCAGCGATAGAAAAACGAAGTAAATACAAATGAACCATGCGCGTCAGATCATTATTCAAACTTATAATCTATTTTAATTTATTAAATATTTTAAAACAATTAATATTTTTATTTTTATATAAAAAATCTTGCATTTAAAAATATATTTAAATTGAATCACATTCAATTCATAGTTCATATTTACATTAAATATATCAAGAATTAACATTGTTTGAACAGCAGTTTTTTTAGCGTAATTTTTTTTACTTAGAAAGAATGATAAATTATGATTTATATCATTTATATTTAATCTTGATAAATAAATTTCAAGCCATTTTTCTCATTTATTTATTCTCACATTTAACCATTATTTTATAAAAGTGGTTTTATTTATTTTAAGTAATTAGAATAAAAAAAGAATATTTTGATAAGATTTCTTGATTTTATCTTTTAAATTAATTATGTATTATATCATTTTAAATTTCATTTAAAAATATAAATTTAGTAATATTATTTTTATCAGAATAATTTAATGAACTTTTGTAAATAATATTTTTTGTGTGATTAACTATTTTTATTAGGCATTTAACCTTTTTCCATGGAGATCGGAAAATTAATTTCGAGGGTTAATGGTCATTCATGTTTGATTTGTATATTATTATTATAAATAAGTTATGAATAATTATATTAAATATTAAATTTAATTTAATATAAATATAAATAATAATAATAATAAATTAAATATATATATAACTTCTAGCGGCTAAGTAATTTTCCTTGGAGTGACGTGTTAGCCTTGGTGGGGGCCATTGGGCGGACTCATGAGGACGTGTCGGCTGAGAGACGTGGCATTGGTCATCTCAGAAGACAGGTGGAAGACTAACACAAAATGCGTGGGAGTGTGGGATACGCTGCTGGGGGTCGCCGTCGACCCGCACAGGCCAAGTGCGGCGGGTAAGGACGTGGGCCTCTTCTTCGATTTCTTCTCTTTCTCGCTTGATCCTTATCCTGATCTGGATTTTTTCCTCCCATTAAGCTACTTATCGAATCATAAAGGAATTTGTTTAGTAGCGTCTTTATATTGTTAATTTAAAAAATGCTTACATAAATAATTAAAGATGCTAATTTTATATTTGTTTATAAGAAAAATAACATAATATTTAAAATAAGGGCTATGAAATGATTAAATTTTAGAATGAATTTTTCCAGGATTACGGATTAAAAAGTTATTAGGAAAAAGAAACCTGAAGCTGAATTAATTAAAGAAGGATAGTACATGCGAATCATTTTTGCGTTTTTTTTAAAGAACGCAATTCTATTTTACATTTTTATTGTGAATGCAGGATAAAAAAAGGCAATATCGATTAAAAATGTAATTTTTTGTGTTCACCATAGAGAACGCGAAATGATTTTGCGTTTTATTCAGCCGATGAAATTTAATTAATATTAATTTAAATAATTGTTAAGAGATGGATGGGAGATCCAAGAGAGAAGAGGAGAGAGAGACTATTAAATTTTTAATATTTAATTTTTATAACCTTTAGTTTTTAACATTATGTATGATTAATTAATAAATTTTTTATATTAATGTATATAATATATTAAAAATATATATTATTAAATATTATTAAACTGTTGCTGGTTAGAATATACATGGCGATAGAGTTAGAATTCACGTCTAAATGTTATACGGATATCCAACAGACAATTAGAAATATAATATTTTTTACATGAAAAATTCTGGAAAAGAAAAAAAATAAAAAGCCACTTCCCGTTGAATTGATTCCATTAGTATTAATAGAATAAATTACAACTGATCAACCCGTCGTATTGAGAACGATTAGATAACAAAAATCAATTATCAGATTGAAATCTAGTATCGAGTACATATCGGATAAAAATCCTGTGATGTGTGGTGGTCTGGCGAAAATTCAGGGTTTGTTGGTGGCCAAGAAAAAGTTCGGCTTCAGTTGGTGGCCGAGCAGAAGTCTGGCGTCAGTTAGTGTCCGGGCAAAAGTCCGGCAGTGGTCGAAGAGTCTCGTGGCAAGAAAATATAGGTTGTCTCTCTTCCTTCTCTTCCTTGCTTGAGTCCTTTTCGATGAAGAATGAGGGGATTATTTATGTTTTTATGAGAGTGGCATAACCATTAAATACAAGAGAGATCAAGGGTAAGTTGTGAGTGGTTTGAATGCATGGCTAATATTAATTCCCTTGATTAAGAACTATTTATTGGGCATTTAAATTCCCTAATTATATCATAATTGGACGATTATGAGCTTGTTGGATTAGTCTCATCAAGTCGGTCGATTCAAATATAAGCATGTAATATTTGTAAATTATTTGATAACTTAATTTATGGTTTAAACATTCCAAATGTGCTTCGGGTCATTTATTTGGATCCTTTTGGGCTCGGATTAAGTCGAATGTGGTGTAGTTGGGTTCGAATTTTCGAGACGTCTAGTTAGACTGTAAGTTTGTTGAAATTGAAGTTTAGATGATCCTAATTTTAATTTCAAAAATTTTCCACTTGATTTTTCATCAAGATTTGTGCCCAATCAAGATAAATTTTTGATGACATATTAGTTGCCCCCCATTTTAAGACGTCGAAGCTTTAGAAGCCAAAAATATGCATCAAAGCCTTTGGAGAATCTTTTTTTAACATTTGAAACTCCAAAATAATTAGATTGTGAGCGTAGAGGTCCTAATTTACTTTAAAAGTGCAAAAATTGAGTCTAAATGTCAAAAAATTATTTCAGAGTCTAAAAAAACCTCTGATTTGGATTGTTTGAACTGAAAATTGAGCTCGGACATGAATGGCTGGCCGAACCAATGAGCAACCGACTGCTACCACCTGAGGCGGCACTTGTCGCAATGCCTAAAAAGACTCTACCCCTGGGGCACACGACCTGTGTAGAGCAGCCAGTTAAAATCGGCTATGGTTATTGCTATTTAATTTTTTAAAATATTTATTATTTTGTTTTCTTTTAGTAATTTCTAAAATTTTAGAATTAGAGCCAAACAATTCCTAAAAAATTTTTAAAAAAATTGGAGGCAAATTTCACCTCCTTTTATGGACTATTCCCATCTCCCCCCCCCCCCCCCTATTCCCATCCCCCCCCCCCCCCTCGTTTTCCTTCTCGTTATATAAATACCCCCTTTAGGTAGGGGGAAATAGTCCCCTTCTCATTTTCTTTATTCTCCTTCTAACTTTATTACAATTGAGGCATTCCACTACCTTAAATAGGTGGCATGCTCTAACAAGTATATGTGCTCCTCTCTTATGTAATAGTTAGAATTTTCAGGTTTCTCCTCCATTTCTTCCCCATTTCTCTTCTTACGCAATAGGATTTCCAATGTTTTTGGTAAGTGGCATCCCCTATCAAAATTTAGTGTTCATTTTTAGTGTAGAAGCTCAAATGAGTGAACATGCCTCCATTAAAATTCCCCAAGCCAAAGGAGATCATCATGTTGCCCAACACGAAGGTCTAAAGAAGGGTTAGATGGTGGCTAATACTAATGATGTCTCCTCCACCATAACTAGCAATTTTGTGATTAATTTAAAGAAAATTTTCATTTCCTAATTGATCTTATGATGAAGGTGCCTGAAAACTTATATCATTTATGTTATCTTCCTTGAGGATTCTCAATTATTTATAAGTTCAATTTTTTAGTAGGGCTTTGATTTCTATCTCCCCCAGAGTTGGCCAATATTTTAGGGACATGTGGAGTGAGTTTGTTCCAATTTTCTTGTAGAGCCATATCGATCATAATAGGATTAATTATATTTTTTAGAGATTATGGTGCGATGTTTACTCTAGAGTGCCTTTCTCAAATGGGTCAACTTACTTATAATATGTAGGGTTGTATCACTTTCAAATCTAAATGGCTAGGAATTCGCACTCGAGACCACTATAAGAGCTGGATTAATGGATTATTCTTTGTGTAGAATGATTGGAATCATTTGGAGAAATGGGGAAAGATAAAGGATCTATCTATTCCCCCTCACTATGAGGTACATTATTTGAGCAAATAAGTAGATGAAGAGTATTTATTCAAGGTGAAACTATTTACTTAGGTAGGGAGATCACTTGCATAATTGTTAAAGAAGTTAGCCAAATTTATGGAGACAGTTGTCCACACTTTTAAGGTTCCTCTTAAACAGTCAAGGAATGATGGAGATCTGCAGGCTTCTAAAAAGAAAATTGTAGAGGAGATTTTGACACTTACCAGCAAAGGTTACTATTCTTTTCCATCCAAATTATACATTCTAAAAGATATTTTGAAATATCATTATGTGAGACGCTGATGAGTTGATAAACTTGTGAGTTCACATTTTCATTTTTATATTTCTTTTGCATAAAAGGATATACCTTACAAATTATTTCTTATATTTTTAGCTGTTACAACATATGTAACTTGAATATGAATTAACCAAGACCTTGAATGATTGGAATAATGAATTTGTGAAGGATAGGTATCTTTAAGTAGAATAAAATAAGATGTATGATGGCAAGATCAAGGAGATGAATGTAGTGGAGCAGCTAGTAGAGTGGAGAGCAAAATTGGTTACCATGACGACTTTAGACTCTTTACAGAATTAATAGATGGATCACATTCATATTAAGCTGGTGGATGTACAGACGACAATCAATCTACATGTGAAAGATCAGTAGATCCTTGAGTAGAAGATAATAGCTTTTGATAATGAGAATAAGAGATTTCAAAGTCTATTGTTTGAGAAGGAAGTCAAGTCCAATCATAACTTCACCTTCTAGAGTTGTAGAAGAATTCAAGAAGTATGTTTCTTTCAATATTATAGTTTAAGATCATGTTTAGGAGGTCTTGGTTCTCACAAAGAAAATCTACATATTGCTTCTCTTCATTTGAGAGAAGATACCTAATATAAATAGTCCTTGAAGGTTTTTCTTCTGATATAGATATAAAAGTGAGGCTTTCTTTGGGAGAAGCCCTCTGAGGGATATCCTCATTCTAGAGATCAAAATCCTTAATACTTAGGGTAACTGATGGGCATTGTTGAGCC